TTTGACTATAAATAATACATATAAATAAATATGGGAGCGATAGTAAAATCATGAATATGAAGAAGAATGGTTTAATAGAAAAATAATAATATATCTGTCTCCCTCTGTCAATTGGTTAATTTTTAAGAATAAAAAAAGGATAGTAAATAGGTTTTCATATAAATATTCGTATATAAGATTAAACATCCAGATTTGTAGTAATAAGGAATATAATCGGTATATCTTCTATCATAACAGACTTGCGGATGACTCGTACTTTAATATGATCTATTTAACGCTCGTAAAAATGATATAAAACCTCAATAGCAAAATCAATTTCAAAATAAATACGACCCTACTATTATTACAATACGGTGTATTTTACGATGTATTGGATGGGAGTAAAATAATAAGCTTCGCTGCTATAGAGCTGTGATCTTACAAATAACAAGTTATGTGATCCGTCACGTATGAGTTCGGCTTTGTACTGCGGCTTGTTATCAAGCCTGTAAAGTATTCGATTCATATTCAATTAAATTACACTACTGGAACAGAGAAATATTGTATATATAATAAAAATATTCTCTCTATATAACTTACTTAAGAAAACACTTTTTGTATATGAGTGTCTTTAAACATTAGAACAGTATAACCATTACATCCATTTCCATTGTATTTGATGTATAATTCCGCTCGCTTGATATATACATTTCGTTAATTGGGTTACACTTGGTCGGCATCTACAAAGGCTTTAAAAGGCTCGTTGATATTAAATATACTTATAACTTGTCATAAATCACCTTCGGCTGGGCGCGAAAATTCGTTACGAACAAAAAATATGCAAGTAACATTCTGAGAGCTTTTTTTAGTTCCGACTTAGATTCTTATTGTCTCGATGTTGGAGTTCTTATAACTTTTTTCTTTTCCCCCCTTCGATTACTTTTTGAATGATTGAACATAAATATTTTACTTTTTCGCCTATCACTGGTTGTTTTTAATTTTCTTTGACATTATTATTGGCGGGTATATTTTGGTAGTTTTTGTTTTATGGTCCGTGAATATGGTTACGTTGTAATTAAAGCACCTCATTAACAAAATACTGTGAAGAAAGTTTGTCAGGATGTATGAAACTCATTTATGTAACTCGTATATGAGAATTACAAAAGAACCGATACATATATATACATATATTGTTTGCATTTCCTCTGAAAAAGAACTAAACAGTCCTAAAAATGTATATTCTTCAAAGAAATTTAAATTTCATACATATTTTCTCCACTAATCTTCCTTAATTTTATGATAGTTAAATCATCGTATGTATTAGAGTTCATAATATAATAATTTTCAATAAATTCTCTGTTTATACGATGAATATCGGTAAGGAGAGCGTGTGATACAAAGTCCCTACATTGCAGGCTGTAATAAAATATCGACACGCCTCTATCCACCGCTTGATAAGCACCCATGACGAATTCGCACTCTAACCGATAAAACGCTATAGTCATCACTACATTCATGCCCGTGTTTAAGATTCACACCGCTAGATCCTATACTTTGATTACACGCTATATATTTTTTATAATCACTCTGAACAGTTACGAAAAATACATCTAACTAGCATATTTTTTTTTGGACAAAATATTAATAAGTTTATCTGTAATGCAAAATGTTTATTACTAAATTTTTCATAAAAAAAAAACTACATAATACATTTAAATTCAGGTATTTTGTCTTACAGCTGTGACCTCGGAGTCAGCTGGCGAATTTTCTAGAAGCAGTTATTATTGTTGGCATGTACAATGTAACTTTTTAAAATCTTGTTTTAAATATACACAGAGAACTCATTATTTAATATTATTGAATCAACTTAATGACTTCCCACGTTCATTTGTGTTAATCATTACATAATTACTAATTTAATTAAACAAAATGTTTGCAAATTGTATAATGCATTAATGACACGAGAATACAAATGAGGATTTAAAGTTAGGGGAAGTTGCACATCGCAGAACAATAGATATATATTTGGCTTTCAATATTTTCTTAAAAAAGCACTTGACTTTACTTCCTATGTATAAAAATTTTACATGGGTCCGATGAAAATTATATTCATGATGAGGTGACCTGTTTTAAAAATCAATTCAAAGATTTTTATGTAAAATTTGAAAATAATTTGCCTCGTACATACCTTATTATATTTAATGAATTTCTATCTCAAATAAGTTCTTTTAAATAAATATCAAACATATTTTTATTAATTTATTCTCACTCAGGCTAAATGTTTTTCTATGAAGAAAATGTATCGACCTGATGTTTAGGGTATGAAATACATAAGAATATTTCGGTGCATCCGACAGTTTTTAAATTCTTAATCTGATAATTTTTATCCATCTTCAGAGAGTTGACAAATATGTACTGAAGATGGCACATACATACTCGTAAATCAAGATTGCTCAGATACATTCTTTTCTTTTCAATGACATAATTGAGAATTTATTTGGCATTTACCCGTATATCAGATAAAAAGGCTTGAAATTTAAAATCCACTCAAAAATTTTAACAAAATACTGTAAAAAAACTAAATTACTTATCGTTTGTCTGTGATCAAACCTAATTTCTTAAAGAATGTTTTTGGAGTCACAGTTTCTTTTTCCATCATTGTAATTTCCTTTCCTTCTTCGTGGCTGAACATGTTTGATAAGTTATGTTGTAGGAAATGTGTTATATAAGAACCATACAACGAATCCAATCATCCATATTGATATGAATTTTCATTTGCAGGACAAGCTGTTTCAGTCAGATATTTCATTTGTCATACATTAGATCTTTTTTATTAAAATAAAGTTGAAATGTAAAACATTTTACTCGTAAATTAAGAATTCCATGTACGAGGACATTGAGGAAAAATAAGTTAAGATTCCTTTGATTATTACTGATGATAAGAATTCTTCAGAAACATGATAGTTGTCTTGCAATAGTGATGTTAAAGCTTCAAGATTTTCTTCTATGATGTATAGAAATAATTAATACCGAGAAAACATCAATATACTATTATTATGAATTTACAATAGTAGCTATTGGCAATCTGAAGACACACTAAATATATTACCCGATGATACTTTGACTATTTTGTTGATTAATGATGTTCAGCATAACAAATCAATTAAAAATTTTAATTCCAATAAAATATACCGAATCAATTGTTGACTGATCTATCCATATAAAGAGATTTTTTATTGAATTATGTTGTAATTCTCCTTATTCGCAAAACGTAAAATTTAAAAGATTAAACTAAAGAAAATGATATAAATATTAAGTTAAGTTAATATACAGTTTTACGAATGTCTTTACGAACTTTGATGTCATAAAATTGGAGCATGCAATATGATGAAGTAATTGTAGATACATTTTTTGGTAGGAAAAAAAGTAAGAGTAGTAGTAGTAAAAAACCATAATTCAATACTAAATAAAAGATAATCTGACTGACAGTTATATGTTAATAGTTTTGAGAAAATTTCATAAATAATTTGTTTTTATTTTTTACATTCAATTAGTTTCTTTAAATAGCTTATTTTATGCTAGTTAGGTATTATTCTTATTTTCACACGCTCTTTGCCGTCATATTACATTCATTAATCTTATTTTGGCATATGATATAAGTATATTTTATACATGATTAAATAATCACAGTTACTCAGTCATACTTCGTTAGTTTACAGCGATATTTTCTCAAACTAAATTCTAGTAAAAAATGTATTAAATCATAAAATCATTTGGTACTAATTATATTAAATTCCCAGGAATAAGTTATTATGCCTTGCATGTTTTAATAAATAGAATTCATAGATTTTATTTAGTAATTTTGTACTTTTCAAAAAGTCATCATCATTAGCGGAATGTAACGATTCATTAAGTTCTCACAATCAACCAGTGATTCCCATTCACACGTTGGTACAGTTATATCAATTAATTATATAAGCATAAAGACAGATTAAAATATTGTTATTTAAGATCATTTATATACCTACAACTAGCTTTCCGCCTGCAGCTTCACCCGTGTGGAGTTCGGTTATATCGCGTTTCCAAGAGAACCTTTCGAAAGTCTGGGATAAAACCTATTCTATGTTCTTTCTCAAGATCAAATTTATGTCTGTACCAAATTTCATTAAAATCAGTTCAGTGGTTTAGGCATAAAAGCGCAACAGACAGAGTTACTTTCGCATTTATAATATTAGTAGGGATAATATTATTTGATACAAAATAGTTCAATTTTTTTCTAACACAGAATTTAATTTCGCACGACCACCGAATCCACTTTGTAAATTGAAATGAAATAAATTTAAAGTTTACGTAAAATTTATTTTGCGATTCCAAAAAAAATATTGAATATTGAAATTGGAATACCGTGACATTGCGAAACTAAAAATGAAAAACAAAGTATTCAGTGATTGTAGCGATGGAATGAATTTCCTTATTCAATTTGTTTTATTTAATTTATCCTAAAAGGAACATTTGATTTATGAAAGTATAAGAATCTCTACGAGTTCAAACACCTCTGTGCATTTCACGATTTCGTTCTATGTTTTGTATAAAAAACATTATTCGTGACTTAAAAATTTATTACAATTCTTTATATTTAATTCCAATAGTACTAATAAAATTTTAAAGTGAAACATCGATGAGACATAAAGGTGTTTAAACCTAAGTATATTGTTTACGCTCTATTACATAGAGTAGGTATAAAATGTAAAAGATTCCTTTAAAAACAATTATATATATGTTTCATATATGAAAAATATTATTTTGTATATAACAAGCTGTTTAACTCAAATTAATAAGATAATTCTTCATTTATATCCGAGGATTGCAATTTATAATGGTGAGACTTTTTAATAACAGGCATTCATCGTCGAATTGGTGTATAATTCAAATCTCTCTTTCTGTATCGCTTTAATTTACATATGCTAAATAAAAAGCGGTGTCATCACAAAAGATATTTTGGGGGCAATATAAACATAATATCAATTTAAATTCCTTGTTAGTGGAGCGAAAGCCGACATCATACCTGGTGTTCGGCTCTGGTGATTGGTGGCTGTTAGAGCCAATCGCGTCGCTACAAGCCCGGACCCTCTCGCTCTAAGGTTCGTCTGTGGCGGGCGGAACGACACACCGGGCAGCCTGCACCGAGCTCTCCTCACCTCAGTTGCTTTGCTCACCTCGTGTTGAAGTGACGTGATCACAGCTCGAGCTCGTGTTGTTCCCATATTTTGACTATCGACATATCGGTCGCCGGTGACAGTGAACATGCCGCGACCGTCGCGTGAATCATATGGAGATCAGAAACCGCCGTACTCCTACATCTCGTTGACGGCCATGGCTATATGGAGTTCGCCGGAACGTATGTTGCCGTTGTCGGAAATATACAGATTCATAATGGACCGCTTCCCGTATTATCGACGGAACACACAGCGCTGGCAGAACTCTTTGAGACATAATTTGTCATTTAATGATTGTTTCGTCAAAGTGCCGAGGAGACCGGACCGTCCCGGCAAAGGGGCCTACTGGACGTTACATCCACAGGCCTTTGATATGTTCGAGAACGGCTCGCTGCTCCGCCGCCGCAAAAGATTCAAGTTGCAGAAAGGGGAGAAGGACAACCTGAATGCGGAGCTAGCAGCGTTGGCCAGTTTTAACAGAGCTTTCCTCGCGCGACAAGCGGGAGCTCCACCACCGCCGCCTCTGCCTACAACCGGCCTGTATACACCACCAATGTGTCCTCAGCTGAGTCCGGAGCCGGCTGAAATACCAGAAGTTGCATCAGTCACAATCTTACCACGAGAGCGTCCTCGTCGAGCTTTCACTATTGATGCTTTATTAGAACCAGAGCCTCCACGTTCTTCTCCGTCTCCCCCAGTCCGATGCTTCCTATACCAGTTCACATGCCACGGCTCGAGCTGATGGCTTCTCCGTACGTGGTCGCAGCACAACGCTACCAAGCTGAGCTACTGCAAGCTGTTCATGCATTGCGTCCGTGCTATCTCCCGCCGCCGCCCCTACCGGTAGCGTGACAAAACCGCCTCAATAACTACACATTGTGCAATGCTAGGTTGTAAGTACATTTAAGAGTTCAGTCTCTATGTTAAAGTGTTTAAGTAGATCAAGAACTGATATAGGCTCAAAGTTTACTATAGATATTAATAGTCAGTATACTTATTGATGTGAAATGCGTATAAGAATATACCGGTCGGTGTTAGCGAGTGATTTGAACGACTTAGAGAGCTTTGTACGTTTAGCAGCAAGCGACGGAATGATGAAGGCCTATAATCTATATGACGAATGGTCGCTCGATACGTTTTAATTGAATGATAATATTTTCATTGAAATTGATGTCGTTATTATATAGTGATCTCACTTGTAGATATTTATAAATAGTTGACTTAGATATAGATTAAAAATATTTATTAATCTAGATAATGTTTAGTAGAATTAAATTTATGAAATACCTACTTACTCTGATGTGTAAATATACGTAAGAAGTTCATGTCTTATGTATGATAAGTCATGTCTTTTGGTAAATGTTATTTATTTTCGCTTTATTGTTACTTGCGTATATTAGTTGAACTATGTTGTATATATTGTTTTTTCATTGTTAATTCTTAGTAGATATATTATATGACATTATGACTGTAATCTTGTTTCTTTGTTCCACATAAATAGACCCCAGTTTGCATACCTATAAACCTATCAAACCTCATTTTATTTTATATCAGCCTTTTTAACCTCATTTTATATCAGCCTTTTTATTCAACTTGGGTGGTTAAATTTGATATTAATCTAGTTACCACACTTTATCTATGATAATACCCTGAAATTTCCGAAACGAAATATTCATGGAGGGCGTTAAGTTGAGGTAGTATTTTGTGATAAGTAAAAAACTAGCTCTCAGGTGGTCTTTTCACGGTGTAATGCATCTTAACAGGCGTGCTCGTGGACTAATAGATCGTGATATTACATCCAACCACTTGGACATCGCTGACTCATTGTACCCTTAACCAAATTAAGCAACACCTCCTTTAAGTTCTTTAGTGCGTTTGCGTTCAAGTCACTATATATAAATTGTTTCTAAGATGTATTTGTGGTTCTAAAATAAATACTAAAGCAATCTTTAACGAATTTTATCAACAGTAAGAAATGTAACTCTTCTTTTTAATGATATATGGATTTTTACGTTAGGTCGGGATTCTTTTTGAAAAGACTAAACCGATTTCAAAGGGCTTTAAAAAATGTATGTTTTGATTTAAAGAAAATTTAGGATACTTTCTAAACTAGTTAGAAACTGACATTACTTAGTATACATGCTTTTTTGATAAAATAGGTATAAATATTAGGTTGAGATGTTTTTGAAAATACTAAACCGATTTTAAGGGGACTTTCAGCTGACTCAAAAGATATATGTGTTTGACTTCAAGAAAATATAAGAAACCAACTTATCTATCTAGTTAGAAACTGACTTTACTTAGTAGGTATACATGCAGTGACTTAATGTGGTCAATATAATTTATTAATTTAGATATTAATTCGAGTAATAGCTTCAAATTACAATATATTTAGATAAACAATGACCTATTACTTGAGTTAGCTGTGAAGAAAAAAAACTTGTTAGGTAGGTATGTATAAAAATAGATACAAAAGAATTTATTTCAATTACATTCAATGATATCGATTGTACAAAAAAATGAATGTAAATAATATTTATTATGAACGATTTTATACATTATATATAAAAGAAAGTTGTGTTAGTTACACTATTTATAACTCAAGAACAACTGTAAGGATATGATTCAAAAATGGTTGATGAGATAGGTTAAGGCCAGAAGACGGACATAGGATATTTAATTCTGTTCGATCGAATAAATAAATACTAAATAAATTCCAATATCTGGTTATTTATGACTTCTAGGGCGGAATAGAGTTACCCCCGCCAGCTATACACAAATTATTAATACCGAAATAAAAGCGGACGAAGTCGCGGGCAAAAACTAGTATCTTTATACTTTTAATTATACATAATACAACAAAAAACGGATACTTAAAATTTATTTACTCTAAATGAATATTTCAGTAGAACTATGAAATGGTTTTTAATCACATTCATTTTCTGTATAAACTTATTTGCAATTATTTTTTCATGATTTCATTCATTATAATTTTAAATGGAAATAAAAATGACGTTATTACTATGTTGATATATTAAATTATAAAATAAAAACTTACCAATCTCTATTCTTACCAATCTCTAAATATTATAGAAAACGTGGGATTTGAAAATTTAATAACAGTAAGAGATAAAAATAATTTATACATTTGATAAGAAAAATATCAAAGACTTATGGTATTGAGAGAGAGTAAGCAGTGTATTTTTAAGAAGTGTAAAAATATATATTTCTTTCTAATTGATTAAAGATTAATTAATAAATAAAGGCATTTTCTAAGTACAATGAAACGCTAGTTCTTATATATTCTATCTACTAATCGGTATTTTTTTAATATATCAAGAGATGGTTCCATGGAGTACATATTTACTGAGTATGAATTTATTAAAAGCATATAAAGCACTTGATAAAAATATGTAGGCACTTTTAAGTAGTTTAAAAATTAATGCCTTCGGTATTTATTTACTTCTTCATACATTTATAATTTCATATTAATGTAACATAAAAACAAAATTATTAGAAAACAATTAAAGAATTTCATTTAGTGTTAAAAACTGAGTTTTTTACTGAAGCTACAGAAGATTTAGTTGGTTCTCATAAACTTATTCACAAAAATAAAAGCTATATTGTCACAGATTATAAATATAGTTCAACAATAGATAGTACATAAATAAATATTTTTTTATATATATTTCTAAAAATTTGGCAAAGTTTTATTAACAAAGCTGTCGCGGTTCTATTTCAAGTAACATCTTACACTGTATATTTCAGGCGACACAGAAATCTTTTTCATTTAAAGTAATAACAACTAAATTCATTACCCACTCTAAGTGAAATTTATTTATGTATCACCACAAACGCTGAACCTTACACAGATGTAAAAATATTGTACAACAAATCTTGCTTAATATTAAGTATAAATGGACGACCCTCGACAAAAACTAAACAATCGGGGGATAAATAAGTCATATTTGTTGTATGTAGATTAAAACAAAGGGTCATAAATATATCTCTTAAATATATTTTACATAGTTTCAGCTCGTCTCCGTATGACATATTGACAATGACCGTACATACACCAAACATTCCACGCAAGTAAGCGCCAGCTATTGTAAATAATATGTTTTAATACATTTATACTGGCTATTGTCTCCACTTGCTATAATATATGTAATATATTGTTCTTACCATATAACTTCTTATTATAAATACTTTTATTCCGTCATTTACCAGGTGTTTGCGTCATTAACAACAACGAAAGGTATATTTTGAGTTAATCAAATATCACTCATGATTGTATGTAAAGTTTTTACACCACTCAGACTTAAATCAAACATAAATATTTGTGAAGGCAGCTGTTTGAAAAGGATTATTATAGAACCTTAAATAATAATCGGTCTCTTAGCACTTCTGTCCATGTTTTTGCTGGAACACCTTTGTGTGATCGCAGCCTATAATTTTGGTATTAATATCTAACACATTGTGTCCATCCGACGTTCGCTATTTCTAAACCAATAATTATCTCAGCGGAATCTCATTTCGAACAGATATTTGTTTTTAAATAGAGCATTCGAACTCACCATTTCTCGAAACCCGTTTAATATCTTACCATACTTGCCAAACGAGCATATGTTTAGTGAAAAAATATTTTTTAATTAATAAGAAAAAGATAAATTGTATAACAATTGAATCGTTTAAGATTGTTTGAGGGCTTTTCTAATACATTAATTCATTTGTTAAACAATGACTATTGAGTGGCTCGTTCCATATGCTTATCTGAGAATCAATTTACCAAAAGGGGTGGCTTCGTATAATATGGAGTTTCATCGGATTGTAACCTTTAAGGACAGGAAAGTGAAACAGTGGGTTTGTCGGATCCTATGACAGAGAACAATCGCCGGAACAACTCAGCGGGAAGCCGTGAAGTCTTCTCGAAGCCGAACCTTGAGCAATTATTTAAAGATCACGTAAATTATAAGGCAATTTCTTGATTCTCCGTTATCCAATTCATGATTTTTAAATCGAATTTATATGAATTATTTAAGCTTATTGTTTCTACCCTACATTGACAGAATTACTTACATTTGGACTCTCCAAACACATTAAAGTAAACGCAATTAATTATTTGATTAACAAAATTGGTTTATCAAAATCAGAAATGTTTCAAGTTTCATATCTTTACGCTATTAGTTCAAATTATATCCTAATAATATATATTTTTTCCGAAATGTCCATCACGAGTCCACGATGTTTTTAAGGGCTCCTAAGACGTAATTTAGCTATTAATATTCAACCTTATATAAATGTGATAAGGTTGAAAGTGTAGTGGTATATAGGTAGTTTTTATGTTGCTTATTATTAGACAGTTGTCATTAGGTCACGTATGGTAGGTTGAGTCTCTAGGAGGGTGGTGTGAAATGACTGCAGGTTGCTTTGTGCTCGCCGACGGTACCGTTTTGTAAGCGGTTTTTCGTTTAGGATGCGTCCTATTTTTTGTTAGACTTGACACGTAGATACTATTGTTATGTCGGAGAGTAAAAAATATTTGTAATGGACTTTAATCTGTTTGGTTAACGCTATTTTTTGGTGATATGTTTAATTCTGTAGTCTATTAAACATACATCAGTAGTGTATTTTATACTTCCTATTGTTGACATGTAACTTTAATTCAAAAATCTAAAAATATAAATAAGCTTTATTTTTTTTGTTTCTTTAAAAGATTTCCAAGTGAATTTAGCTAACAGT